CAGGAGGTTGTACATGGCATGACTCTAGGGCTAGGGACAGAAGTTACACATAAACTGGTTTCAGTGATCAGAAACTGGTTTAAACCTGTAACAGAAGAGAAGTTCAGTGCACATAAACCAGTTTCAAAATGTCTGAAACTAGTTTGAATGTAGGATCAGATCTAACTGATTTAGGTCACACCAGTTTATGAAATTTCTGTCCCAGACCCCTTCCTGGTTCAAGTTAAATCATAGTCCCCCAGCATGCTTTTCAGCCCTGGACTGTGCTGTGCTGTCTGCTTCTGAGAGCACAGCTGGCCCTTCCCCTTTGCTACCTAGCTGAAGTAGTGAGGGCTGGCTCATTGAACTCATTGCCTCCACCCCTCCCATCAGCAAAACCCCAATTGGGGTCTGGGGTCAGGCAGGAAAGTTAAACTTACCTTCCCCCTACTACAGAGCTTCCCTGCCCAGCTAAAACTTAGTGCTGGCTGTGACTGCGGACTACAAATCCCAGTGGCACCTAGAAGCAGGAAGAGGAAGTGACAAGCAACCCTGCAGAGTCCTGCTGCTATAATTCTGGACTGCAAATCCAGGAGACCTCAGGAGCAGCAGAAAGAGTAAGCAAAAACCCAGCCCATGCTATATTTATAGTTATTCAGTTTATAGTTTTTAAAAGAAATAATTATTCTTGTTCAAGCTTTTATGAATTCATTTCCACCATCTTCTCCCACCCAGGCCCCCCCCTGCTCAGGCAGAGCACAGGTTGTGGCCTGGTCAGCCCCCCTCTGCTCCAGCAGGGAGGGAGGAAAAGTCTTGGAGGGCTTCTGTCTTCCTCCCCATTGGCAGTGTCTGGTAGGCATGCCTACTGCCCCCTTCCCCCCCCTCCCCTTGCAGGTATGTAACTGCATTTCCTGAATCAAAAGTGAATGTGTGTTCATTTGCTTACTGGTTCAATCTCTGAAGTTTAGAATAGTCTGCGAAGACTGAATCAATTCAGCCTCAGGCTTTTTGACTATCTGCACTTAGCCCAGGTCACTGATGCAGTGCAGCCAGGCAGGCATGCAGCATGGTGTAATATAGAGGGGGACTGCCTATGGTGCAGTGAAGGGATAGGGTGCACATGGCATGCCATGGTGAAGTGTAGCAGGAGGGAGGAAGGCTGTCTACAGTGTAAGGGGGGGCTCATGCAATACATCATGAGGCCTGCGGGTTGTACGGCCTGGGGGGGGGGGTTGTCTCCTGGACACTCAGAAATTGAACAGTTCTGCTTTACACAATTACAGTATTGCCAACTCTCATGATTTTTGGCATTGTTCATGTCAAAATGTACCTTTTTATTTTAGTTTGAAACAGCAAAGTTCTTTCATATTCCTGAAGCATAGACTTTAAGAATAACATCAAAATCATGAGAGTTGGCAATACTGCAATTTGATTTTTTTTTTCTTATGCATGTGCAGCTTCCTTTCACAATTTGAAAAATATCTCTATAAAATATTTGCTTCCAAACTCTGCTATCGGACCAGCAAGGCATTACAATGTGTATATGCAGTGGTACTGTTAGGGACATCTTCTAGGTAAGGAATTGTGTCAGCTCACAGCAGTATTTCATGTTGCAGGCTAATGCAACACACTGTGGGGTGCTTTTTGTGCTTCTTTTTATAGACCTGCTTGCTGCCAAACAGCACATACTCCTAATAGGTTTGACCCTGCAAGGTGCTAAAGCATTCTCAAGTGGTGAATTAAGGTTCTAACTGTCCTCTCCCTTTGCAGACTTCCTGTCTGAGGGTAGAATTTAGCCTTTGTTTTAAATCCTGTTATCTGTTCTACAGTGTACAATAATGACCCAATGTATTTTTTTCTTCTCACTTCGCAAAATAAAAGCAACTTCCTGGC